CTTTCTTGATCTTCTAAATCTCCTGTCATACCAGTCAATTTAAATTTCTTAAAGTTATCATGTTTTTCTTTACTTTTATTTCTTAAATTATTTGTGAGCCAACCTGTTTTTTTACTTGTAGCTACCCTTTTCTTTCTATAAGGAATATTTTTATCCTATTATGGACAAGAAGATTCAAAGTTGTACACAATATTCCAATTGAGGTTTAACTATAGTTGGGCAGTAGACCAAAGAGCCTAATAAAATGTCCACCCAATGTTTTTATTGTACTTTTTGTTATATCTTTCAGACCTACTGATTAAGGATCTGTATGATGCCACCTGAGCACCCTTGGAAAAACCATCAACAATGGCTGCTGTGACATACAAGTGACCATACACTGGCTTATATACCAACTAGAACAATGATTTTGGTGATTATGAGTACGTTTTGAAAGACAAACAATTTCTCACTTCACCCAGAGAAGTTTATTTTTTTAGAAATTCAAGATAGCTGTTGTCAATGGATAAATTGCCATAGTCCACCTCCTATATCAATTGTCACAATGATATTACTGTTGATGACAAGGTTTAGATGTGTGTGTGTGTCAAGGAATCCATTTTTCACCTTGCCGGAGTGAAAGATCTATTACTGAAGCCAATTTGTTTGTTTTGAATTTTGCCCAAAGCTACTCAAGGGCTATCTGCACTAGCTTTCCCTAATTTAGTAGTGATAGGTTAAAGGGGAGCAGCTAGTTAACACCACTCGCTAACAATTATTGGGATATTCTTCTACCAATGAATAGCAGGATTGACCATCATATTATAATGCCTCCACAACTGAAAGGAAAAGTATGTTCGGTGGTGAGGACACATCACACAATGGGACAAAATAAAAATTTTAGACACAGCTAAGCAAGAAAAAACATGGAAGATTAAAGAAGTGATTCATATCCAAGCCCAAAATTATACATTTTTGGAATCAAGATAAATTTCAAACAGGTATTTATCTTTTAAACACTGAAATCCATTCCTTGTTGAGTTTCTCTCATGCTGTTAACAACCACATGACTCTGAGTATCTTAGACGTAATGCAGAGTATAAATCAACTTACCCATAATTCCTCACTCTCCTACTTTTCACATGACTTACTATGCACGCATCAGAAAATCTTACTTAAGCTTTGCTTTCCTGCCATAATTCATACGTCTATGTTGCAATATTGACTGAAAAACCACACAACTTCTGGTTGTGGAAAGAGGGGTGTACTTTTATTTCATAGGTAAATACCTGTTTGAAATTCTTTTTAATCTTAAAAATGTAAAATCTAAATCAAGTAGACTAACTTTTGAACACTGAAAACCAGAATAATACATTGAAAAGGAGATGGGAAATGTAGAGAATTAATATTAGACAAAAAATATAGTTTACAAGGCAGTGTTATACAGTGCTCCTGATAACGTTTGCCAGGATAAGTAGAGCACTGATCAAATTTTGCCTCTATCAGTATCTACCAAAGGTTTTCAGTAATCAATATCACGGCCAAGCATGTATATGCTGTTTTATGTAATGATTGAATCATTTATATTATGAGAGCTTTAATATGTCAGTACTATTTTATTGTGTATTGGCCCCAAGAAAGTACTACAAAAACTCCTACACACAATCTACACAATCATTTATTTTTATTTTCTTAACTCTCTGTTTATATGGTTGTGAAAGCCTTGCCCTTTTTCTGTTATTAGCACTATCCCACCTTTCAATTGCAGGACTGGGATCATACAACAAAATTTCTGGGCCTAACATTCCAATTCTCATTAAACAATATCTATTATTCAGCCTTCACAGAGCACCTGAATTTTGTCTTGAGCCTGTTCTATACAGAAAATGCTTTTTCACCATCAATGCTTGTTACAAAAAATTCATGCATGTCTTTAAACAAGCATGCACATAGGTCTCTAGATAATTTATGAAATAACAAACAAAAAAAACATTAGGTTTATTAAATTATTAAAATCTAATTCTATTCTTGATATACACTAACTTTTGTGCTTAGAAATAAAATAATTATACCTCTGTCTTTTTCTTTGCAGGTGCTGCCGTAAACATACTTTTTATATCATTGACTTTTTTTGGAGCAGCTTTCCGTGCTGGTGGTGGTTTGAATCTTTTTTTGTTTTCATTTGAAGAACTGTTATCTATAATACCATGAAATCATATATTTAACATTGCCCAACA